GTTTCTTCTGGAATAAGTTTTAGCCAGTCTTCTTCTTTTTCTTTGATTCTATCCATTGCTGCATCCCTACTAAATTCACAGTCGAAATCTACCTCAATCCAGCTGTTTCCATTTTTAAAGACCTCTTTAATCATTTTGATGTAATGATTGCCATGTAGGATCCATTGTGTATATTTTAATCTTTCATCTTTATTTGCATCTGGTATTGCATATGTTGGCATATTTGCTTTGAATAATCTGCTTTTGTCGTATATCCGATTCATTGGGGACCATTGGCTATGTTTTATTGTGTCTACTAGTATAGGTATTTCATTATTTTCTTTAGTTGACTTTGTACTCTCTTGATCTTGATCTACTGTTACACCTTTTCCTATTTGTCATGAAAAATCTGCTACACTTTCTTGGCTTTTTTTAGCTTTCTTATCTTCTATGTTATTTTTGTTTACACCTGCTATTCTTGCTAACTTTTTAGTCCCTTTATTTAGATATTTTGCTGGTTCTTGGTATAATAATATTGATATGCTAAGATCTTGCATTTGGCCGATAACTACATTTAGATTTGTGTTGTCTTCTTTACTGCTGTTAATTTCATATTGTTGTCTCTTTTTTTCAATATAAACTATATCCATGTTCTCAGTATTTTCACCTTTTTCTATTCCTTTTATCTTTGCTTTCTCTTTCAATATTTCTTCACTCTTCATACTCAACAAGTAATTAAATGATTTCAGGTTTTGATCTACTGCTAGAAGCTTATCTGCCTATTCTTCTATTGTGCTTCTTGTTACTGAAAAAGTTTCTGCTCTTTTGAGTGCTTCGAGTACTTGCTCATAAAGAAGTATATTACCTATTGTGATGTTTTTTGAATCATATATTGCAAGATCTTTTGCTATGTACTCTAAGTTGTTTGAATTATCTATTCACTTCGATAAAATTTTATCTAATATTTTGCTGTCTATGTATCTTCTATTTCTAACACCGAAATCTCTTATATGTTGAATTAGGTTTGTGTTATCTAGAAGGCTTAGCCTGCACTGTACTTTCATTTCTATATTAGTTTGTTGTTTATTCATCTGCTTAGTAGTACACATAAAGATTTCTATCTGTTGTTTTCTAATTAGGATAAGATTGTTGTGTGTATAATATGTTGTGTTTGTTGTTGTTTTGTTGTTGACTGATTACATGTACTAACTAATTGTTTCAGGGTCTAGGGTGATTTTCTACTTTTTCGAAAAACGATAAAGGATTTTTATAAAACTTTTATGTCAAAGTTAAACTAACTAAAATCTTGTTAAAGAGATCTATATCTATTTTGTTGTGTTGCTACCAAGCTTGTATTTCTTTGTGCTAGAACTTTCTTTTAAGAGCCTCATGTAGGTTTATTTACTCTATTCTGTTCTATATCTATATGTTAATTTTGCTCATTAAAATTTTGTCGAAAATTTGTTTTTTTGCTATTGCTTGTTGCTGCTCTAGTTTATTTCTTGTTTTCAACTAGGTTGATTGTATTCCTATAATCTTCTATCTTTTTCCTTAGTGCTCTAAATGCTGTTTGCTTGTGTATTTCAATGTTATTTGTGTTATTTGTGTTATTTGCTTTCTGCAAATTTTAGTCGAAGGATCTACAGGTGAGAAAATTTTAATGTAAATTTGATAAATTAAATTAAAACTATATAATAAAACAATTTAAAATAATATAATTACTTAATCTTTGTACATATTTATGAAAGTTATTAATATTTTGTGAAAAATTATATACAACATCCAACAAATCTTATTCAAATATATGTTTTTCTTTTTGAATTTTATAAACACAATTTCATAACTTATCAATATCATTAAGTGAAATATGAACTTCACTTAAAGTGTCAACATCAAAATATAATTTAATTAAGTTACCTAATATATAATAAGAAATATTAATTAATATATTATCATATATAAAAATATAAAATTAAAATTTATTAATATATCTGTAATAATTTTTGTTGGTGTAATATCAGTTAAATCCTTATTAGCTTGTTGAACAAGTGTTTGAAGTCTTTGCTTTATATTAACAGGTGTCCATATAGGTGGAGGAGGAGGATGTGTATGTATTTCTTTACAAATTAAAATTACAAAAGGATATTCTCTAAGATTTAATGGTATAAGTTTATAGAATTCAACTTTACAAGACTTTTTGACAATAGGACTATGGCATATAACATTTTCTGATTGATGTGCATATGCTAAAAAAAATAATAATTTATATACATTTTATTAAGTAATATATATTATATGTTTATAAAGTTTTTCATACCACAATATTTTTTTTTAGATGAATTAGATAACACAGTAAAACATTCATTTACAGGCTGGTTTTGAATATCTTGATTGTACTATATAATTAAAATAACTTATTAGCAATATAATTAATTTATAAAAACTAATAAATAAATGATATTATATATTACCTCATAAGTACTATTATACAAATTATTCAAAAGTTCCAAATTAATATTCGAAGAAACAAATATAAATCGATGATGTTTTTCATCATATTTCCATTTAGTACAACCAATAAAATATTTAGTTTCTAATAAATTATAATGAGCCAAACAATAAAGAACTGGTTTTCTTTCACATAATCTTTCATTAATTTTAAATTTGCATGAAGTTTCTTGAACAGCAAGATAAAACTTATTAATTAAATAAATATATATATAAAAATTAAACCTTTTGTTTAAATTATTAAATAAAATTTTAACTTACTCAAAGGTATTGTTGTTAATACTATTTGATGAAATTTCTTATATAATTCATAATACAAGATCAGAATTCAGATCCACATTTTGATAAGTTCTATTATAAAGTTCAGAAGCAGCAAATTTACAAAGCTTTGAACCTTGACAAGTTCGCATCTCACACTTAACTTTAACTACAAGGTAAAGACACATAACTTTGTATTCACCTTCAGGCTTACCAATCGAATACTGAATCTAATAATTTAATACAATAAATAAATAAACTTAATTATTAAAATGAT